AAAGTAAAAATTGCATTATGAATGATACAAGCTGCATTGGTGTGCAATTGTTTATGATTTGTTTGAACAACACTTTGGCGGAGCAGCCGAACATCGAATATTTCGATACTTTTTTTACGAGAGATGATAAAGTATGGCATAATTTCTTCTAGGGGTTGAAACACGGTCGCAGCTGGTGGTTTTAGCTGACATTATAGGCCGTATAAATGGATGAAAGGCTTACTTACTCCACATGAAAGTGGGTTTTTGTCAGTTTTTCCTCATGAAAATGCCAAGATACTTCTGTGAATTGGTGGTACAAGCAAAGTCAATCAACTTAGGCTGGACGTGTTTCAACCCCTAGAAGAAATTATGTCATACTTTATCATTTCTCGTTAAAAAAGTATCGAAATATGGTTCTTTATGGTTCTGATGGGGGTAGAACTGCTTGCAAAAAAAAGTGATAGACATGGTGAGATCATGAGTACACATCCCGTACACAACAGTTTTTTCAAGCATAATTTTTGCATGTTCTTTTATTTGCTGTTTTTTTTTTTGTTTCAGTTGAAGACTGGGACATTTTTGAGCAAATGGTAGATTACTGCTACAGGCATGTGTTATTCTGCGAGAGCCAGTATCAGCCAGCACTCTTCTCAGAAGCACCTGTAAATTTTTCATTTTCGAATTTTTTTTTAAAAAAAAATTTGAAAATCCATATCAATGAAGAACAAGCGATAGTTGGATTTATAGAAAAATTTTCCGTTGCATTTTGAAGTTATTGCGAAATTTAACGATACTTTCGTTAAAACTTTGTAGTTTGAGCGTTCCTTTTTATATATATTTTTAAAATTTACCATTATCTTTCTTAAAACAGTGGAATACGAAAGCAAAGCGTGAAAAACTGACGGAGTTGATGTTCGAGAAATATAATGTTCCCGCGTTTTATGTGGTGAAGAATGCCGTTTTGACCTGGTATGCTTCCTTAGCATTTCTTTTTTTATTCAAAAAAAGGAGTAAATATAATCCATATTTTCAGATGCTTTGTTGGGGGGAGGGAGGGGGAGGGAAGCTCTGAGATGATACATGTAGCGTAATGAACTGAAATATCTGTACGACCGTTGGAGCATGACTGTCTAATTTATAAATAAATAGCAACGCGCACTAGACTAGCCGGTGCGACCATGCGTTCTGTGCAATTTAGCTCATCGAACGATTGCCTATTAATGATTTTCACTGCCTTGTACTTTTAATGATTTTCACTGCTTTGTGCTTTAGTCTATGCAAAAATAGTTCAAAAACTGGAAAATAGTTAAAAATTTCACGCACCAACGCATGAAAGCCGAATTCGAAACCTTGAAGAGTGAATATCTTTCCGTGATTCCCGAGTTAGTAGTTCACCCGCCAAAATTTTCACGAGGCCGTAGGTAATACTCAAGAGCGCGGGGATGCTAAGTTTGGATAGGCAAGGTTGAGCGTGGGCAGGGGGTCATTACCCTAAAATTTCAGCCTCCTAGACTCCATGGTTCCCGAGATATTAATTTACCCGTAAAAAACTGTTACGGGGCCATGCGTGTTACCCGCGGGTACGGGGAAGCTGAATTTGAATTTTTTTTTTTTTCACATGTGGGTGGGGGACGTTCCTCTAAATTTTCAGCTTCTTAGCTTTTGTGGTTCTAGAGTTGAAAGTTGCGGACAAGTTGCTGCACACACACACACACACACACACACA